AAGACCGGGAATCAAACTGGCCGCATATGAGAACATGTCTTCGCCTATGCGTAGTGTGAAGCGCGAAGTGAAAGGAGTCACTTCGACCCGGGCACGAAGCCTTTCCAGTCTGACTGACCAAAGATACGGATGGGTGTGCTCAAAACTGACCTGAGACATATCTCTGGTCTTGTGGTTTTTAGTCTACGGGACTGGCAACTCAAGTGGTTCGATTCAACTCTCTTACTGACTGGAGTGACATTACTGAGGCCGACTAGATCAAGCATGATCACAGCCGTAACAAGTACAAGTCCAGAGCCAGGTGAGAAAGGCTGTGAGCCTTTCCACTGCCGATAAAATGATTTAAATTCGGATATGGGTTTCTGGAGGTCAAAATCACTGCACTCGTACTCATTGCCAGTCAGATTTTGTCACTAGACGGCTCGCAAGTCAGCAGTGCTCGCCTCCTCCGTAAAACAGTACTTTCTATTTGCGGTGTTGGTGGTAGTAGAGGCGTTTGATGGTATCCTACTGACAAATTTCAGACAAATTAGGCTGATATGGCCAACCCAGACTACAATTAAGCAAGGTATTGAGGAGAAGAAGAAGACTCGATCGCTGGAACAATACGTTTATTCGCCTGACGTTTCGACATCCGTCAGGGGAATAAACGTATTGTTCCAGCGATCGAGTGTTCTTCTTTTCAGTTGCTTCCTGGGACACGCATGTTCGCTTGTATTGGTATGCAAGGTATTGCAGAAATTCGAACAAAGACACCCATATAATTGGCTCTGCCCTAACAGACCACAACCAGCAGGCTATTGTAGGCAGAGTATATACTTGTAAAGTTGTAAAATGCAACTAACCCTCGTAAAGGAGTTTGTCTTTCGTTCGTTGCCCAGTTGGCCAAACTCGTTAGAGCCGCAGCTATAAACGAAACCCTCAGAGGTGAGAAGCAGTGTGTGCCTGTAGCCGCAAGCAATCTTCGTGACTTTCGACTCCGGAAGCGGGGGCACCCACCTAGGTTGACTAACATGCCCGTTATCTTCGCCGGAGACGGGGATTCCCAGCTGACCCTCATCTGCAGAGCCCCAAGCAAACATTTTTTGCGATGATAAAACGGGTTGGCAAATGGGCGCTAGATTGGAATGAGTAAAAAAACAACAGAATTTTAAGGCAACATTTTTTCAACCTACTGAAGAGTTGTAGTAACACAAATGCTCGATGTAAATGGCGCGATATAGCTTGCTGTGAGGTGGAAAACGAAGCGACTAATACTAAATTAATCATAAGCGATTAATTATGAACTGGTGAGATGAGGGCGCGTGGGAATCAGAAATGCCATTAGAGTGAGACGGTTAACTCCTCCCTGACTGGTTTTGTACAGGAAGGGGGAGATAGATAAGGCGAGAAGAAGCGGCAGAGATATACCTTCTGTCGGCGTTTCAAGCTTCTTGTCAGCAGCTTCGATAGGACCTACTTCTCGAGTGTTAAGTCGCCTAAGTCCACGCATGATTTTTGACTTCCATTTTTCTAGCATTTTACAAACAAACTATTTTTAGTATCTTGTCCACCTACACAATGAAAGAAAAAAGTTGAGGATTAATGGCCCGATGACCGGGTCAGTGGTCGCAATAAATGCAGGGCAAAGTGAAGTGTGA